AGTCCCCCCAGGGGCCCGTCACACTCACACCTGAGCCCCACACCCAGTCACACCAGGGGCTCCCCAGACTCACACCTGAGCCCCACACCCAGTCACACCAGGGGCTCACCAGACTCACACCCGAGCCCCACACCCAGTCACACCAGGGGCTCACCACACTCACACCCAGTCACACCAGCTGTGAGGCCTGTTCAGAAGTTCGTTAGGACTTGCCTGGTGATTCTGACAGGCCAGAGAAGGGACAAACCAGGTAAGACGGAAGTGGGCCATGAAATGCCTCCTTGCAGATGCCCTCCAGGTCTCCACCATGCTGTGTGGACAGTAATGACGCACACATGCACAGATTAGGAAGGGGACGTCTGAGTACGTGAGGCGTGTTTGACACGGGCGGATTGGCTTATGCCTGGGAACACACGTGCATTACACTCGGCATGGGGCTGCACAGTGGGAGCATGTGAGACCATGCATGACCCACGGGCGTGGCCACATGCTATCCTTTTTCCTCCAATGCTCCATCCATGCAGATCCTGGGCACCCGCAAACCTAGCATGGTTTTCAATCTGAAGGCACCTACGGACTCCAACCCTGGCCAATCTGACATAGGACACAGCCTGGCTGAATTAGTTTAACCAGGGAGGTTAACTAACTTAACTAGGGAAGTATTCTCCTTAGGAGACTGAGGGTCTTGGAGATGAAGTGCCTTGTTTAATGACAGTCAGGCTTCGAGCTCAGGTCGGTCACCTCCCACATCTGTGCCCACTGCGAGGGACAGATGGGTGGGGGTGCACAGTAGGATCTGTATTTTGACAGGATTATTCCAACCCAGAAAATCTATGCCTCTAGGACGAGTGAGAATGAGAAGTTCCTATGTACTTAGGAAACACCTGGACATTAACACTGCTCTGGACTTGAACGCTATTCTGATTAGTGACCCCTCCCAACAATAGAAAAAAGGGTCTAAAGATCAGTGAGTCAACAGCCTCACTGTGGAGAAGTCCGCCATCAACTGCCTCCCTGCAGTGGAGTTCAGGTCCAGCCAATCAACAATCTCCCCGCCACCGTTTCATTTTCGAAACCAGTAGATCAAGGCCAGCCCGC